TGGTCCTTGAGCAAGGTCACCTTATTAAAGCATGCATGCAATGTCCCATCGAATGTCCTCTAAGCAGCATGGGGTACGCTTGGCAAGGAAATTTCAATGCGTCATTCCTACTTGGTAATGGCCCTCAGCAATAGATAAATGGATTAAAAAAATGTAGCATTTATACACAATGGAGTATTGCTCTGCACTAAAAAATGACAAAATCATGAAATTTGCAGGGAAATGGATGGTATTAACGCAGATTATGCTAAATGAAGCTAGCCAATCCCTAAAAAACAAATGCCAAATGTCTTCTTTGATATAATGAGAACAACTAAGAACAGAGCAGGGAGGAAGAGCAGGAGGAAAAGATTAACATTAAACAGAGACATGAGGTGGGAGGGAAAGGGAGAGAAAAGGGAAATTGCATGGAAATGGAAGGAGACCCTCATTGTTATACAAAATTACATATAAGAGGTTGTGAGGGGAATGGGAAAAAAAAACAAGGAGAGAAATGAATTACAGTAGATGGGGTAGAGAGAAAAGATGGGAGGGGAGGGGAGGAGGATAGTAGAGGATAGGAAAGGGAACAGAATACAACAGTCACTAATAGGGCATTATGTAAAAATGTGGATGTGTAACCGATGTGATTCTGCAATCTGTATTTGGGGTAAAAATGGGAGTTCATAACCCACTTGAATCTAATGTATGAAATATGATATGTCAAGAGCTTTGTAATGTTTTGAACAACCAATAATAAATAAATAAATAAATAAAATCCAAATTATGGCACCAACTACTGCCAGATATACTGGAGATCTTCCCTGCCATCTCCTGAGGCACCCACCACACTTCTCCAATACATGCTGTGACCCCAGAGAGAAGCTGGCCCTTATGTTCTGCATTGATGGGTTCCCCTGTCCTTCTTCCTATTGGGTTCAGCATCTGGCAGGAGATCAAAGAAAAGAGCAAAGTTGGGGTTTCTATTCCCTTTGGTTTCCTCCCTAGGAGGTCTCCTTAAGTTGGCAGAGCCACACCTGAAGGCCACAGCAGCTTCCAGGGGTCCCTTTTTACACAGCTACCCATTCTGGATTCCAGTCGAGGATCCTTTCCTTCATCATCTTAAGCCTGGAGGTAGAAACTCTGCTACTGTCACTACCCCCTAGCAATTGTATCCTAATATTTAGGCTTCTGAAGCCCTATTCTCAACTTTATAAGTAGTTCTTTCTACTTATCACCTCAAAAGTTCCTTTTTGGATATGTCATTCATTAATTTTGTCAGGACTTGCCTGGATAGAAAATTAGGCTAAGTGTATTTTTGTTCATTTGGTTAATTTTTATGTGATAAATAATCTTTACTTACCTATGATTTGTTCTCTAAAGGTCTTGGTGAATTTTAAAATATTACACAAAATACACATGTCAAAATAAATATTGATAGGAAAAAAAGCAAAGAGAAATAAGGGGGCTAGGAGTTACTTCAAATTAAAGTTTGTATTATTTTTTGCAAAAGATTGAAAAGAGCCATGTAGCCTCTTAATAAATAGCCAAAGCTAAAGAGAAACATAGCCTAAAAAAATCAAAGGAGAAGTACAGCATTTTTCATACCAAAAACAGAAAAAATAATCCATTAAGGTAAAGAGGAAACCGTAATGCAATGAAAGACATTCTCAATAATCCCCTGAATCAGATGAAAATATTTCCCCCAGAACATCAAAGTATTAATGTCTGACTTCTGGCTTTTGCTAAGGGGAATCTTCACCTAATCTAAAAACAAAATCATGCTTTTATTTTCAGGGGATGGATTGCTAATTAGAGAAGCCAACTTTTAATGGGTTTTAACTTTTAATGAGCTATAATGATGAACGAGTTTGGAATGTTGTGATATGTGTCTATTTTGTTTAAAAATACGTTAAACGTATTTGAAAATTCGTTGGCCACCATCAAAATGAACGGGCACCAAGAACAAAGCTAGACTGAAGGTGTGGTTCATTAAAGGGATTTATTTAATCAACCTAGCATTAAAATGATCATAACTGGGAAGAATTATGGAGATGGATTGGCATATAGGCTTTAAATCAAGAACCCTTAAAATATTTTATAAAAAAAATCTTGCAATTATTACCACAGCCCACTGATAGTACTAATTTGGATATGTTAATACTTCCAGAATTTAAACTCATATTCACCATCCTCATAATAAAGACATAGTACTTTACAATTTAGAGAATATGACCATGCACACATGAACGGTTTTAACCCAGCCACTATTAAGTAAAATAGACATTGCTATTTTCATTTTATAGATTAAGAAAATGAATGCAAAAATATGAAGTGTCTCGCTCATTGTGTTATAGATGGTATATATGGGATCTCAAAATAGAATCCAGAAAGTCTCCCAAAGTAGATCTAGACTCTTTATTATGCCATGGTCTATGGCTTGATGCTTAAGGAAGTGAAGTGAGAGAGTTCTCGTGCAGAAAATCAATGTTATGCCAATGTATAAAAAGAAAGGACCTAATCATACAAATTCCAGTGCCATTATTTAGAAAGGACTTTAGGAAATATTTAGTCTGGTCCCAGCTTTCTCAGCTGTAGAAACCCCCAAATGGTTCAAACCCAAATGGCCTCATTTCCACTCCCACTGGTTTGCGACACCTTCTATGGTTAAATTAAGTGAATGATTCATTCCCTCAATTAAATATATATAAAGCTTTAAATAATGAAGCTGACAAATTTGAATGTAATTTTTAATAAGTACTTTTTGAATTAAAGCAATCACAATTCATTTCTCTCCTGGGTATTAAACTCAAGTGGCATCATTGACTTATAGCTACTGTTCTCAAACTGGACTGAGATGCCCCAGGGTGGTGCAGGGAACTCACAGGTGCTACACAGAGTATTTTAAATGTGGGAGAGAAATACAGCATGAACTGACATCTGTCAACAACATGAGAACTTGTTGAAGTGATTCAAATCTAAACATTAGATCATGTTCTATTCCCTTTAGTGATGGACAGCTTATTCCTGTGAGACTGAGTGTTGCAGGAACTATAATAAAAAGCAAACATCTCGCCATAATGAATGTGGAAATGAGCATAGCCATACCCCATCTGATTCAAGATCTAGGTTGTGTAGTGCCCAACAGGTGCACACAGCACATTAGTAACTAATTATGGCTACATATGAATGAATTAAAATATGTTTTCTGTGTAAGCCTGCTTTATATCAATATGACAAAACACCTGTAACAACTTAAATAGACAAAGGTTTATTTTGACTCATGCTGTCAAAGGTTTCAGTCATGGTCATTTGGCCCTGTGGTTTTGGGCCTGTGGCAGCACAGTATATCATGGTGGGAATGTGCGACATAGGAGGCCCATTCAATTCATGGTAGCTAGGAATCAGAGAGAAGAGAGGCCAGGGTCTCAACATCTCCTCCATCCCCCAGCCCAGTGACCTAACTGCCTCCCTCTAACCCCGACCACCTAATGGTTCCACCGCCTCCCAGTAGTGCCATAGCTGGGGACCAAGCCTTTGATACATGGGCCTTTGGGGAACATTTCAGATGAGATTAGGCCCATCTCATTTCCAATTATAACACTTTCCTTCATTGTATGTATATTATTTTTTTTAAATGGCTAGCAAACTGATAGAACATTAAATTAAATTGGTTTGACTTAAACCCTTTATAAATGAACATCTTAGGTATAACTTGGCCTTAGGACAATATGAAAAAAAAATTACTGAAACCCTAAAGACACCCTACAAGGAAAATTTAGGAATCTTTGTCCACTGATCAAGAATGTGTACTCCGGCTTCACTACATACCCACTGTGCCTCTTCCAATTAAAGCTCTCTATGCCTTCATTTCCTTGTCTATAAAATGGAGATAATAAAGGACTTGCCTCAGCAGAGTGGTTGTGTGGATTAGTAAGTCAATGTAATTAAGCTGTAGAAAAAAAGGTAGGCTCAGGACCAATGTTGTCTGTATAAGCATTAGCTCTGTGCTTCTAAGACAAGCTTTCATCTAGCATTCTGCTTGCAGTACATGCTTGCTACAACATCAGTCAGAGACTGGCCAACCTGGGCAGCCTATGCACATGAAGCCCATGAACTAGAGAATTTTCTTTTTCTCACTAGATGGCTGTCCTAGCGTATTTAGGTGCTAATTTGACTGGTTTTTTTTTTTTTATTGTTTTTTGTTTTTGTTTTTTTGAGAAATCTCAACTATTTTGCATGTTTTCTCAGTCTCAGTTCCAGAAATGATAGAATGATAAAGAACTTAATGTCCCACACATAGGATCAGGAGCTTTGCTTTGTATACGGTGCTCAAATAACTTGAGGCCCTGAAGCCAGAAAACTGAGTGATAGTTGGTTTTGACCAGAACTTTAAGGAAAAGAACTTTGAAGCAATCACTTATCCCAACCTCAAAAGTGAACTCTCATTTCCTACTCTTTGGCTCTTTGAAGTTATTCACTGTTGTATTTTGGAAATATAACTGACCTCCTGGGTTATATTTTGTCTGACTTCCCATGAGATTTTTAGAAGGTATATTTTTATTTCCTTTAAAAGTATTTTTTTCCTTTATAGTTACTGTTTATCTATTCTTTGCCCTAAAACTGGCACGATAATTTTAAGGCAACAAAAAATTCTGTCTCGAATATTAAATGAGAAAAAGTATATTCTGTCTAGAAATATGCAAATTAATTATAGCACATTAATACAATTATACATCATGGTTTTAGAGATTATTCAGTGACAGCCTAAGACACATTATACTGACAAGTGTAATGCTGAATACAAAATTATGCATCAATATGACCCTAATTATAAAATACAATTTACTTGTATAGTTGCATAGAAAAATGTCTGAAAGGAAATACAGCAACTCTCTTAATTAGATCTATCTAGATGCAAGAACTTTATCTCACCTATATCTGGTTAAGATCCAATTTCAACTGAAAGAAATAGAACCCACAACTAACATGGATTAAAAATGAAGGCATTTCATCATCACCTAAGTCTGGAGATGCGTGACTCAGTGGGTGAGCAGCTTGGAAACCATGTCCTCCCGAAGCGTTTCTAAATTCTCTTCCTGTAGCTCCATGGAACCAAGTGTTACAGAAGCTCCAAGCATCACATTCTCACATGACCAAAAGGAAGGAAGGGAAAACACAGCCCTTCTCTAAAGTTCTCTCTTCATCAGAGAGGAAAATGTTTTCCCATTACATCGGCCTGAACTCGGTCACATGTCCTTTGTTGGACACAAGGTTACATAGATCAATTATGGCATAGAGCAATTATGATTCTTCCCTGGGGTCTAGGTGCATAATTGCTAGGGGATGGAGGAATCAAGGTTATGTTACAAGGTTATATTACCAAGAGAAAGGAAGGATTTCCATGGGATTAGTAATTAATCTTACATAATTAGATTATGTCTTTTTTTTTTTTGGTGCCAGAGATTGAACCCAGGAGTGCTTAGTCACTGAGCCACATCCCCAGCCCTTATTTAATGTTTTTATTTTTGAGACAAGTTCAAGATGAGTTACTCAGAGCCTCACTTATTTGCTGAGGCTAGCTTTGAATTTGTGATCCTCCTGCCTCAGCCTCCCAAGCTGCTGGGATTACAGGCATGCATCCACACCTGGCCTAAGTTTATATCTCTTAATGTGTTTCCCAAATAATCTATGATAGTCAAATATCTCACGCCCAAAACACTATTTAAATATGATAAAATAAACAAAAATACAAGAAATGTCAACCCCATATTCAAAACAACCCTGTGTAGGTTAAGAGAAACAGGACACAGGAGAACTGTGAATGTTGTTTATTCATCCTTCTGCAGGCACATCTGGTAACTAGAAGTGGGAATGTCCACCATTCTATATATCTAATATCCATGATAAAATTCCTTCTTAGAAGTAATGGCAACAGCTTGAATATCTCATGAGTTGACAAAAACTGGTCCAACAAAAAGAAATACGTTAAACATTTCTGAAAGAAGAATGTTGCTTTCCAGATATTTAACAAGTCAGGAAAAAGGTCTCTCAAGTACAGTAGACTATTGTCTGAAAATCCATGTTCTCAGGACTGCTGAAGCCAAGAAGATCCAAAAAATGTTGGATATTGTTGGAAAAGATTGTACCTCTCCAGTAAAGTCACTTCATGCTCTGGAACCTGGAACCTTCCATTGGAACCTTTTTACTCGAGTTTCAGGGTAAATAATACAGAACAACAAGGCACTTTCATAATCAGGTGTGGAAAGTTCTAAAACATGCTATAAACTTGTTTCTATTAAGATACTGGACCAGGATATGGCTGTTCTCAAATCTTAGGACTCCAGGATAAAAAAGCCATCTTTGAAATTGGACGTGGCTCTACTATTCTGAAGAGCCTGGGAAGGGCTGGCTTCCATAGCGCCATCATGAGCAGAGAAAGCTAACTGCAGCTATAGTTGTCAGGTCTGATGACTCTGAGAGGCACAGAGGGACACCAGACAGGATTGAAGTAGATGTTGCCAAGAGGAGAGAATACCAAATTGGAAAGAGACATGAATGTAGCAAACTAGAGAAGACAAACTATGTAGTGGGGACAAAATGTAAGACTCTAGGAAAACTGGAAAGATATAACTTTTCCTGTTAATAGCTGTTGTTAAGACCTAAGTCCCTGGCTTTCCCTGTACACCCCAGGGCATCTTGTAGGCATTTTCCAGCAACATCTGTGGCACAGGAAGAGGATGCTGGTCATTTCATAAATGGATGCTCCACAACTAGGGGAGGTTTGAATTACATTCTTTATTTTGTTTATTGATACTTAAAAATGGCCTTTCTTGGGATCACTGTCATTCATTCACTAAAAAAAAGAGAAAAGATTGAAAGTACATGCTATTTCAGACACTATTTTATGTTGTGAGGCTGATGCTGAGTATAAAATTAAAGCTCTTGCTCTCATGAGCAGATTTGGGAGTGAATGGACCCAGCTGAGCTCACTTTGGCCCTTGCTGTGCTCCTCTATAGGGTGGTAGACAAACAAAAACAAGATATATTAGAATTTTCCCCTGTCTTTTTTTTGACCAGAGGTGAACTTACAGAGAGCACTAAGCATCTATAATAAAACTGTATGTTTCTTAAAATCTGTATTAGTCATGCAAAAATTTATTAAACTGTCTCCATGAACAAAGCAGTACCCTTGTTGGTTCATAGAAGTACAAAAGGAGAAAGAAGAACACTTATGTGTCCAGTAGAAATGTAATATCTAATGGGGGAGATACTTCTATTAAGATATTAAAGAAGGCTTAGAACTCAAATAAGCAAGTCATTTTATTAAAATCATCTCTGGTCATGGTCAGCTTACAACATATGTGCATGTGAATATTGAAGGCCTAAAGGAGTTCGTAATAGGTCTATGTGTGTGACTTTGCCCCCAGTAAACCACAGCAAGTTGCCTGCTATGGAAACCTCTGAGGGAAATGTGTAGCATAATGTAACTAATGAGTTGGTTTAGAAACTAAGCATTTGTGTACTTACTCTCATATAAAACCTTAACCAGATTTAATCCTTTTATTCAATTTGAGCATTGAAGTATAAAAGTAATAAAATTAATGGCACATAAATGATAAGGCATGATGACTTGAGGTTATCATCAAATTGTCCCAACAGATGTTACTTTTAATCATCTTGGAGACTCTAATAATTATTTATTTGTCTAATTGGAGATTGTGTATAGTAACATTTAACTGGTAATATTAATTATGTACTTCAATTATTTCTAGACTCTCCTAGCTTTTGTTGTTACCTCGAATACCATGAAATTTTGAGATGATTATTCAATATGAGTTTTGATACACTCCCCAACGTGGGGATTTTGTGTAGCATGTGCTTGCAAATGATAGCAACTAATACGATAAATATTAAATGATGTTAAAATAAGTTAAACTCATACTGACTGTTTTCTAAAAATTTCTCAATGTGGCAAATAAAATAAGCCCTGATTGTTGAGTTACTCAGCCATTATTCAGTTTTTTTAAAAGTGGCAATGATTAGAGATTTAAAAAAATGAGAAAATATATCAAATAGCAAAGGTAATAATCATAGTAGTAAGTGTTTGGCTAAATAAGATCTGAAATAAAAGATATCTCATGTACTTATGTAGTTGTAGGAAGGCATAGAGAAATATATAAAGCGTGGGCTACTACAATCAGATGGAATAATATTATTCCAGTGAATAATATTATTTTATACCCAAAAGAAGTATGACAAAACATTAAAGATGAGAAAACACTCACTCAGCACATAATAAACATAATAAGCATACTAAACAACTATTCTTCACATTAAAAATAAATGGTAAGAAATCAAATATAAGATCCCATTTAAAATAACAACAAAATACTAAAATACTAAGAATTTGATGAGAAACGTGAAGTATATGTGTGCAGGAAAATGTTTATAACATTTTGTTGAGTCCATAAGACTTAAATAAATGGAAAAGTATACACTTATTCTTCAAAACAAATCACTGAACATTATAAAGATGCAGATTTACCCTAAATAAACGCTGAAATTATTTGCAATCCTTATTAATAATAATCCAATTACTTTTAAAACTATTTTAAAATTTGTTTTAAAGAATAAGGAAGCATGGGAAATACTTTAAAAATCTAACAAGAAGAATAACATAAAAATATTAAAAGTATTACAAGGTTTTATTAAGAGACAATGTTTATACCAGAGGTATGAGAATATGCAGATAGGCCATGAAGAAATAAACTCTTGTAGCTAATGAAGCTCCAAGAAATATATTTATGGATGAATGGATTTTTGTACATGCTAAAATGGGTTTGCAAAACAGAAAGAAATATACTATTTAATGAATCTTGTTGGTTCAAATACATAAATGTTTGAACAAAATCCAGTACTTTTTCCTATCTTCTAACAAATTCCAGATAGATTAAAAGTTTAGTGTCTTAATGTAAAATACATTAAAAAAAAGAACTTTGTTATTATAATCTTGGAATAAAATGGATGCTTCTCTACATGACCAAAAACCTGTAAGTAATAAGTGAAAACCTAGATAAGTTTACCAAAATTTATATATATATATGTTATAGGCGGACACTATAGCTTTATTTTATTTTTATGTGGTACTGAGGCTTGAACCCAGTGCCTCATGTGTGCTACTTGAGCGCTCTACCACTGAGCCACAATCCCAGCCCCCAAATTTTTAAACACTTATGTTTAATAAAAATTATTATCAACAAAGCAAAACAATAATATCAACAGCCTAGAAAAATATTGCCACATAAGTGACTCTTAAAGTATAAATTTAATAGAAAACAACTCTGTAAAACAAGATTCAGGCATATTATTCTGTAGGAATTTGGTAGGAAAAATATGTGAATGCAGGCCACGTGGAAAAACAAAACGTGAATCATTAAAAAACAAGCCTTGCTTGTTAAAAAAAAAAGACGTATTACTTAATCTTCTAAGCAAATATTTAAAGATCACAAACAGTACTGACAATAAAAGTCATAAGAAACAGAAATTTTTATGTATTTTCTAGGTTTATAAATTCAGTATTAATTGTAAGGTGGTTAAGAATTATCAAGAATTAAATGTCCTCATGTAAATCATTGCCCAAAACTTATTGTTAAGAGAAAAAGCAAGTCAAAGAAAAGCATGTGTAGTGTGAGTTTTTTTACAGTACAATATTTAGACATATACATTCATATATTTATATATAGAAAGGAAATGTGAAAATGTTCATACACAAAACTATCTACAGCATCTTCTTCTGAGGACAGAGATGATAAAGAGTAGGGAAATAGATCTATAGAACTTTTATTTTTTTTTCCTTTATAAAATTCTATACTTTTAAATATTTAGAGTTTAACTTTATAATTTTGGGATCATTGCAGATTCATGAATCTCTTTGACAATGAACATTTGTTTCATAACATGAAATAGTGGAATATTAGAACACATTGAGCAAAAAGAAAAAATAATAATATCTATAATTGATAAAGGAAAAGAGAATTCTGTAGCTTCCTTAGTGAGCAGAGACTGTACATTAACACCACCTCCCCATGCTTATTGTCTTACTATTTGAGTTAACCGTGTAGTGAGCTTTGTATTATTATTTTTTCCATTGGGTGGGTCCAGTCATTTTCAGCTAATAATTTTGTTATCTCCATAAAGTCCTCATTTAAGGAGCAGGCCAGCCATTATTACAGATAGGTATCAGAACCCCACCTGCCAATTGTGGTTAAGATTCTATTGCTCAAGAAGGACAGGACAGTGGAATCTGCTTCCAACAGAGTGCTTTCACAAAGTTCATTTGAGACTGAGTGGACCACACCTTCAATGGATAGCAGGTGTTCATTATAGGCTACAACCAATATGCATAAGAGGTACACTTTGTTGTATACTAGTGCACAATAGTGCTTTAAACTCTTTATATCATTTACTAATTTGAATCTTATTAACAACTCCATAAGATTAGTATCCCTTTTATTATTTTAAGTGTATAGGTAAAGAAACTCAAGTTAAATAGGCTCAGCACTTCCCTCAAGGACACACATACAGAATGGAGTTCATATTCTATTTTAGGACTTCCTAATTCCAGTGTCTGTACTTTGCCACTATATTGCACTTAGGTAGTGGAGTATGTATTAAAGGGGATTATTTTTGGAATGGCAGGAGAAAAACTAGTTATTGATATATGAACTTGTATGATGTCTAAAGAAAGTATGGAAAAATTTGCACAAGGCCACAGGCTTCTTAAATTTTTTTCTCAATTTTCCAGGCTATTGTGACCTATAAGAATGGTCTTTACCAATTCCCAGTGATTGGCAAAGGAAACAAAAAGTCCAGAGACAAACTTTTCTTAATGGCAAGAACAAAATAGGAGATGTTTTCTGACCCATGTGATTGTGCTAAGTACCAAAACCTGACCTGGTTTTATTCATATTAGTCTGAAAGTGCTTCTGTGAATATAGAGGCTTTGGGAGAAGAGACTATTTTGGAATGAGAAGCTCCTGGATGAAATTTGCAAATCCTGAAATCTCTGGGCACTGGGCAAAAACTTATACTGTTTCATGTGACCCAAAACAGAATTTCGGACCCAAGCAATTCCTCTTCAGATGAGTCACATGCATTGACATGCTTCTCGAACAGAAGCAGAAACAGATCTCAGACAAGTTAGAAGTCCAGCAGATCTCAAGTTTTGCCAACACAGTCATGATAAGTCACGTTTGGTCAACAGAATTGGTTTTGATGTGCTTCAATCTGAGCAGAACACGTAGAAATCACATTCTGGGCCCAAGCAGGAGCAAGCAAGACCATCTCTTTAGACGTGTAAAATATTTTAAGGGAATTTTTGAAAATACTAAAGAGGAGTATGTCCTTAGAGCGAGGAGACCAACTCCTCTTAATCTGCACTGCAGGTTATCAATTGGTGTACTCTGGGGCAAAATATTAACAGATCACTTTGTGAAATACCCTAACTTCAGATTCTTCACAGTGGGAGTTTTGAAGGCAGAACAGCCCTACATTGGGGCATCATCCTAAAAGTTTTGAGAAGGGAAATGGCATCTGATGGACAGGTATGTGACTATCAAATTAATCCTCAAGCAAGGAAAATACTTTGTCATTTGGCAGAAGTTTCAGAATGTTGATCAAGAGAGACACACCACACACAAGCAATCCTGGGTAAAATTTAACCTGAGTTATGCTGTCATTGGCTTTTGGTCAGTGAGTTAATGTCACCTGCTGTCTAGTATTCAGTAACACTTCATGGACTAATAGTAAACTGACAAGTAATTAAAACACTTTTCTAATAATTAAGTGTGAATGTCCCATGAGAGAGAGATTTTATGGAGGGCTGGATACAAAAGCCAGGAGACCTCATTTTCTAAACCTCTTTTTCAATATTCTTACTTCCTACAAAAGCTATTCCTTCCTGGTCATTTCCATGGAATTATGCTCTGAAGACTTCATATAGTGGACTCTTATTCAAAAATTTCCCTACCAAGTAGTTCACTAAATCAAGGACTTTGATTACCCAGGAAAACAAGGGAGAGAGCATACAAATTCTTTCCTTACATGCAGCAGGATTGAGCCTGTTGCTTCATGGCTGTGGATACTCACCAAGTGTGGACACTCCCTTCTATGCTTTATACCTTCACAGACAGGAGGAATAAAGCTAGACTGTTTCCCAACTGACTAATGTAGATAGCAACCACTCCAAATATGGAAGAGATTTACTATGCCAACCCACTTCCTGGTATTACCAAGCATTGAAACTTGCACTTGACCTTCATGAAACTTTTAAGAGATTGTGTAGCTAGATTTGCTTTCCCATCCTCACCTTCTTCTAGTCCCATATTTTATCACCACCATTGTAATGGGGCTCCACTGCATGTTGAACACCTCCTTTGTGGTAAGTGCAAAGACTATTATACTCATCATATGGGATACAAAGTGACCCATTGTGAAAATTAGGTCATATATGCTATATCTATGTTGTAAATATTATTGTTTTTAGACGATAATAGTTATTTTCTTCCTGGTATGTGTAAGTCTTTCAGAAAGCTTTGATCAGTCATTGTTGGGTTTCTCTCAAGATTGTCTGAGCTTCCAACAGTTTCACATCTTCAACTATTTCCTAGTACCATCATGCCCAGAGACTTTCCTCTTTACATCACAGAATTCTCTTTTCCCTGCTCCCTACCCCTGACACCTTCAGCCTCCATGCCCCATCATATAATATCATAAACCCAGGAATATCATGTAGGCCCACACTTCCAGACTCATGCTCCATATAGTCTTTGTGAGGAATTTCCTTCTTTTTTACTCTGTTTTCTCATAAAAAACTGACTCCTAATCTTTCTTAGCATCAGGAAAGTGTAGGCTTCATTCAGAGGTAGGGGAAGGTTGTGAATCTTATTCAGGCTACTAAAACTCTCTCTCTCTCTCTCTCTCTCTCTCTCTCTGTGTGTGTGTGTGTGTGTGTGTGTGTGTGTGTGTGTCTCAAAGGGAATGAAACCATGGTTCTCTACCACTAAGCTACTAAGTTGCTAAGTTTCTACTAAGCTGCTATTAAGTCTCACTAAGTTGCTAAGGCTAGCCTTGAACTTGTGGTTCTCCTGTCTCAGCCTCCCCAGTCACTGGGATTACAGGCATACACAATTGCTTCCAGCCAGGCTAGTAATAATTGTCATCTTATGATACTTATTTGGGATCTTATGTGTTGCATTTTTATTGTTGATTACCTTGTTTGGTTCATGGTTAAAGTTACTTTATAACAATTATGAGTTTGTAGGTTTTCTCAGAATATTTGCTTTTAAAAAAATATCCTACCTTAAATCTTTAGGCGCCACATCATGTTATAAGTACTCAAGAATTTTGTATTTGTCTTATCTTATATAAATGCTTTCCCACTGGGTGAGCCTTTAGGTTGTTTGGGTTTAGAAAGAAAGACTGTGATTTTCTCTCCTTTGGGAATGTCTCTTCTTCTCACTCGGCTTGGGTCCTGTGGTTGCTAACTGCACACTTAGGGTACAAATGCAAATCAGTACTTTAAGGGCTATAGATTTCATATGGAGAACTCCACATATGTTTCCCATTTTTCTCTCTTTTCTGCCACATATTTGTGCTGAATTGTTTTATTGGTAATGGGGGAGATGCCAGAATATTTACAGGATCATGGTCATGGGAGTGTGCTGCTATTTGGACTATGTCTGGATAATGCCAGTGTAATCAATCAAAATGGAAACATTTGTTCAAATAAGCACTTTCTAGGTGATCAGCATAATGCTTATAGTTTTGAGTATTTAACCAAACTCAGTCACTTTGATGTGATTCAGAAAAAACTTAGCAGAGTCCTTTGTGAACACTTCTCTTCCTTAAAAATGAAGAAATGTAATTACATGAAATTCGAACTCCTCTTTTAAAAATAAGGAACTCTGCCACTCAGAGTCCAAAAGGGACATGGACACAATGCTGAACCATGCTGTGGCTGGTCTTCCTCCGATATAAATTGATTTCAATTTAATCTTATTTATTTGGGGGCACATTTGGGAATAAAATGAAAACTGGAAAGTCTCCCAATGGATAAATAGACACACGGAATTCACAAAGCACTTCAGGAAGTTTCCAGACTCCTTAAAAATAATTTTTTGTATTTTATAGAGGTTTATTAAGAATTCTCAGGACCAATGGCCTTTAAGGTCTTGCTCAGCTTAAAATGTTGATTTTGTGAATTTTTCTTTTGTAGTTTTGATGGATGCATACATATCCAACTGTTCCTTCCAAACAAACTCCTCGGGTGCATCTTACGTGGGAGTTGTGGATGTATCAAAGCCTCATCCTTTATTGCCAGCCTAGTGAAGCTTCTGCATTTATTGGCTTCTTTCAGTGAGGGAGACTCTTAAAAGAATTGAGATATATGACAATCAAGACCTGGTTCTTTCTCACCGCCATTCAGGAGTGACTGACAAGCACCACCTTCTGGAGAAAATGTGAAGTTAGTGTCAAAGTTGATGATCTCTGACACTACTGTGCTTTTCACAGGTACCCAGAGTTGAAGCTCCCTCTGATTCCAGCACCAGTCTAACCCCATGTTCCTGAAGCAGTTTCTTTACCTTTATTCTAACCAGAGTGATCTACCTTTTGCCTTAAGGAAGATATAAAGCAGTGTAAGTTGGAAAATCAATTTATGTTAATCAAAAATTTCTACTTTTCACTGAAATTTCATGGTAGCAAAACTCATATCATTTGAAAGTATTGGGAGGTAGTTTGTATTAAAAGTTATGTGTCAAGTTGGGTGTGATGGTGCACACCTGTATTCCCAGCTACTGGGGAGGCTGAGGCAGGAGGATCGTTTAGGCTCAGAAGTTCAAGACCAGCATGGGAAACATGGGTGACCCAACTGAAAGCAATTAATCAATTAAATAAAAACTGTCTATCGAGTGACTTAAATATGATTTGTCATTAGAATGTTGGTGAAGTATTTTAATTATTTAAAAGAGATAGGGAATCTATTAAGAAAAAAAACAAGTGATCTTGGAAGTAATAAGGATTAATAAGAATAATGCTCTGTTGTACACTCATACATAATTAAGCAGCAAAAGAGTAGTTTAAATGATTTATTTTATTTTATTTATTTATTTTTTTAATATTTGTTTTTTAGTTGGGCACAATATCATCTTTATTTTTTATTTATTTTTATGTGGTGCTGAGGATCAAACACATGTGTTAGGTGAGCGCTCTACCCTGAGCATAACCCAAGCCCTAAATGATTTATTTTAAACATACAAAATATATGCACATATACTTGCATTATGGTAATTAGTTAAATTAGTTTTATTCGTGTGTCTGGTAACTTTCCATACATGCTTTGTATTTAATTGTAAATTCCTAATTTTTTAAATACGTAATTGTCAGAACACTGAACTATTTGTGATTATATTTTTATGACTCAAAAAATCTTAGTTTTTTTTTTGTTATGATTTTTATAGAAACTCTTTTTTCTCTTCGACTTTTTCTTGTGTTCCACTGGTATCAAACCAATGCTGATTTGAAGCTATTTGCCCTGCAGGGATTACTAAGAGTGTCAAGTCCTATAAATGTTTGCTTCATTGCCAAAATTAAAGATCCCCCCAACCAATCTACATCTTTTTTGTTTTATTTTGTTTTTAATCAAAGAGGCAAGAATGACTTTGTGTCTTGAGAAATGATTTCTTTCTTCACAATAAAGCAAATATACAACACAGCTTAGAAAATGTTTGAGGATTGAGTCAGATAATGGAAAATTCCTTTAGACCCATCATATCCTAGAGCCGGGTTGGTCTCCTAGGGAGATAAATTGAGTACAATGAGGTTTGCTGCGGGGGAGTTGCAGAAATGGACCTTTGGAAATAGACTTTAAACCTATTAATATATTTCTCCTGGCATTTTTAATAAAAAGTAGGCATTGATTGTTTACTCCCAGACAAAATTTCTATAACCTACCTAAAAACCCTGCCTGCCAAGTGCTTTGTGCCTCTCAAGGGACTATTAGTCATTCTGTAGAGTTATATTTATTTTCTTAAACTTACTTTCCAGATGGACAATATGTATCATTTCATTAAAGCCAAATGTGGTTTATGAAATTTGAGAATCATAATTAATCATGCCAGGGAGAGCACCTGAGTGAGGCAAACAGAGAACATTCTCAGGAAAATAAATCATAAGCTTAAAGCAGCTCCCCTATTTGTGGTACTTACTACTTTCCAGGTACTGTTTATATATGGATATATCTTAACTACAATCTCGCACAATGAATATTATTCCCATATTGCAAATGGAGAGATGAAGCCCTGGGAGATAGTAGATAGCGGGAGCTGGGAGTTGAAGTTAAGTCTGCCTGATCCTGAGTCCCTATGCCTCCCACCCTGCAATTCTGCCTATGGAAGTTCAGTGCTCAAACTGGACAAACTGGGAAGCCAACTCCATTATTCAGGTTCTCTGTAACTGGTCATTGAAAGTGAAGAATTATTAAAATTTTACACAGTCCACTCATGAACAATATTTTATGTTTAAATACAAACCTTATTGGTAGCTGACAAATGACTTTTGCTTAGAATTACTTGTCAACCACCTCAGATGTTTTCTTCAGCTGAATAATCATTACCACAAACACACATGACAATATAGCCTATCATCTTTAAAAGCACATTTAGAAACACATTTTTTAAAAGTATGGCAACGGCCAGAAAAGAATCATAAATATAGCTGAACTGCCAGTCTCATGTATAGACAATGAAAACCACAAGGTGGAGGCTGATAAATAAATCCAAAACAGAGTACTGATTCCAGACAATCATCACAATGATAGAAATACTTCCAAATATTTTCATAGAATAGAATAAAAAAAAAACTTAAATATGTTGGGGATGTAAATCTCAGCAAAAGGAAATCTCTGCCATGTCCTTATCATCAATGCCCCTGGGAGAAGTGTCGATAATTATCTCAGCAAATTTTGGAGGTTGTATCATTTTAAACGAGGGATTGGGCCCAAGAGGAGGAAATGAGCAGCATACCAACATCCAGGCCAGCCAGGGTGCCCCTGAGAAGCAGATGTAAACACAGACAGTTGTTCAAATTTGTCAGCAGAATCTCTCAACCCTTCAGCCAGTAGTTAGAGGGTAGAAAATAACCAGAAATCCTTTTCTATAAACAAAGGGAATTGCAAAAGGTATGGGGAACTAACATCCAGGTTTTGAAACTGCTGAGAAAGGAGAGGATTGTTCTATGCTGAATTCACACAGAACAAAGACACGTGACAGAGTGGCAGCACCCCGAGTGCTACAGTGTGGCCAGGTGCAATGCTCCCTCTGAGATGGGATTTGGGGCCAGGAACAAACAGACTGAAGGGGATGGCCTGTGTAATTAATGGGAGTCGATGGTGGAATTGTTCATGCAGTTCATCACACACAATGAAGAAATTTTACTAAAATGCCCTAGAAACAACCTGTAAAGTCTTAATGTCTCTGTTTCCAAGTTACAGAACATTCACAAGCTAGGAAAAAAAAAAATGCAAATTTTTTTCAGTGATGGGGATTGAACTCAGGGCCTTGAATATGCTAAGCAAGCACTCTACCACTTTTAGCCCCAAATGCATTTTTATTGGACTGTATCATGTTGTAATAGTGTGGGTTTGAGTTTCAAAAACCACGGCTCAAAGGCTCCCTTTTATCCTCTTAGGTATTTTGCTTTGGTTCTATTACATGTTTGAAATTGCCAGGATTCCAGCAGAGCCCTGGTTAACTGAGAAAAAGATTAACAAGCCTTTTTACTCATCATTTACAACTCCAAAGAAGGATTCTTTAATAAAGTTAAACACCGGCATTAAAGAGCACTTTAAAAGTGTGTTATAAAAATATAACCTTAATAAAACCAGGCTCTCTGTGACCTATCTCAGCATGCGTTAGACACAAAAGAAACACCCACCTGACATCCAGAGGTATTGCAAATCCATTTAAAACAGCAAAGTCAATGGAGATGCAGCAGTAAGGTCTGCCATTCACAACATGTAGCAAAACTTCCTCAAAACTCTCTTCCTCCATCTATAGAGTTCACATAGCAGAAGCACTACTCTAAAGAATTGTCTCCACACATCTTCAAACTATTTCCCCCAGGTGAGCCCATGGGGACTCCTTTCACTTCAGGTTTTCTCTCTCCTTTCCATCCTACCTCAGGACCAAAAATAGTAATCAATCTTTATAGCAAAATGATATGTACCATCTCATGGAAATTGGTCTAGTCTTTTTTAGCAAAGTCCTTTATTCCAGATTAGGATAACAAAAGCCAAAGAGTCAAGAGGACCTCTTCCTTCAGTGGCAGGATGAATGTGCATTTACTAGTGATTTTTTTTTCCTTTGTCATATAAAGAAGACTTAAAAGAATCAAATTCTTAAATAGGTCTTGATACTCTTTTTTCCTATAATCCTTAAATTACCAATTATTACTTCATAAATATATATATATGGTTTTTTCTCATTCTTGTTCACACTGTATCTTTGAGTCAAGCCTTTAGAAAGACAGCTCCATGAACAACACAGACTTGATCTGTGGTTTTTCTAATGATGTAAAATTACCATGTGCACTTCCCAAAAGCTCTTTCCCATGTGGGAACTCTAGATACATTAGGAGATAACAGTCGACTTCCTAGTCAGAGCTCAGATTGTCTTGTATCCATTCAATGCTCATTCATTTGGAGTAAGCTGTGAGGTCAGAGAGAATGGGGAGAAGATGGGTCATGGAATCAGGAACTCCTGAAGGGGTGGCCTGTGGGAAATGGTGAGTGGGCCCGTCCCAGACTGGCTTGTCTGACATTCTTTTGGCCTCCCCCTGTGCTCTGCGTCCTAGTCCTAGGGAGGCTCACTCCATGGACTGGATTTCTCAGGCTTTCTTGCCTATGGGTTAATGTCAATGAGTCACTTGTTCAAGGATGGTTTCTAGAAGGAAGAGAGGAGCCAGAGTCTGCTCCCTACCACTGCTTATTTCATTCAGGCAACCAGCTATTTGGTGGCCAAACTTGACCAGAACCAGCAAGAGGCCATTTGTTATCTCATTTATTGCACTTTGGGTGAATATGTGCACATTTTGCTGGATTTTATTAAAAAGTGCTGCCTCTGAACTTACTGGAGAATGTGACAACGCTAGGACACCCATTGGATACATATTGCCTTTCTAAAATCTGAAAATATTTGAGTCTTATCTGTACCCAAAGAATTTCAGATAAGGGATGGAAGACATGTAATTTATAAACCTTTCATGATCTTCAATTCACAAAATTTAGACATTAAATTTCACTTTTTCTGTTTTCTTGAATTTTCAGAGTGAAAAATTCAGAAGCTCCTCCCACACTTAGAGCAGATGCTAAACTACTTGTGTAGAATGTACTTGGACTTTGTCATACTTATTCTGTGAGGGGTTAGCCCATCATCCATTTCCAGCCTATAGAAGACAATAGTTAGGAATTAATTTTGGGACTAAAAAGGGATGTCAAAAGATTTCTTTAAAGGGAGATATTTTAACCATGTTGGTTTTGTTACCATAACTTTGGAGTATAATTTGAGGTCCAGTACTGAGATGCCTTTTGCTTCACTTTTCTTGTTAAAAACTACTTTGGTTGTTCTGGGTCTCTTTATTTTTCCAAATGAATTTCAG